AAGAATTTTTTTATATTATATTTTTATTTTATATTATTTCTACAAATTTATTAACCCTCTATGGATTCAGTTGAATTCGCAGCAACATTTACCTTACAAAGTGATTAAGCATATCCATTTATGTGTGTGTACATATATTAACCAAATAAGTAAAAATTTACAACAAAAACTATATATATATATATTTAGTTTTTTTCGTTAATTTATTTTCCGCAAATAAAAAATAATTATTATTCTTTTTTAAAAGAAAAATAAGTTAAATCATTGAGGGTTGATAAAATAATAAAATTGTCAAGCTCTTTGTCGAGCATCTTATGGGAACATTGTACTCTTTTCGCGCGAGGTCACTTGGTCTCGATCATCTCTGTCGTCTGCCAATTAATTGCCATAAGATCGTCTCGGAAAGCGCGCCGGCAAAAGTTAAGGTAGGGTGATTAGTATTAAGAGAGCGCCGGCGGCGTCACTCGCGGTTAAGTCAGCTCTAAAGGACAGTGAACTTCGTCCTCTAATTAATTACACCTCCCGTTAAACGAGCTTAACGCGGAAGTCACCGCAGCCGTGCTTATCGCTCATTTCAGACACAGCATACTGACTTACCTTAAGCTATATTCGTCTTCCATGTAGATAAGAGATTCTCGTGAAAAAGTCTGGTATACTGATAAGAAGAGTGTGGGCCAAAAAACATAATAAGTTAAAATTAAACGTGATAGTAAAAATGAAATAAATACGTATCCAATTGAGGATAGATTAAATTGAATGATAAATTGATACTTTTAATAAACCATATCTTTTTTATGCTAATTAAAAATCAAAATTTTATTCTCTCAACAGATTAAATAATTCTGATAATTTGAACAATATCACAAGTTATTGATACATGTATTTATTTCATATTTTATATTAATCAGATATATTTAATTTCGTCTGCATTTTATTAAAAGTAGTTTTATCTCAGAATATATTATGTAAAAAAAATTATGGTTCACGCGCACGTGCACTTTTCTTATCAGGTATTTAACAGACTTGTATGTATTTTTGAAAATAATACTTGAAAAGCAGGTTACGGATTACATATGTAATTTACATACATGTAATAGATAGAATATACACGCGGACGGTACATAGGACAAATTAGATTCTATACTATAATACTACTTACCAACAGTATTCGCTTGTCTATTCTGAATTCTTAGTGCCAATTAGAGAACACACTGCCACAATAATATATCTGTACTATAAGATTTATGCTAGTTTATGAATAATGACATTCACGGTACTGTGAGAATAAACCTTAGTACTGTCGCCGTAGAAAGATCCGTTTTTTGTAGATATCCAATAAATTCGTTCACTCTGAAAGCTCGTCCATCCAAAAAAAAATTCTTAGGAATCGCAAGAATAAATCAGAAACTCACGTTGAACTCACTTAATCTCTTTTGAGAAGTGCGCGAAACTGTATATACATAAAGTATTAATTGTGTCGAGTGTGGTTTCAAATATCAGAGCGGCATATATAATGCATATATGTATACATATATATGAATAATTGTATGCGAAGATTATATAAAGATCAAGTATACGGCACCTTTTTGAAAAAAAAGGGCAATTGTAGTAACTGTTATTTTTTTCCCCAATTTTACCGTAATATTATCTTGCCGATTCAAATATTGAAATAGAAACATTTCCACTCCAATATTTTATTTTTCTCTGTTTTTGACATATTTCATCTATGATAGGATAAAATTGTTTTAAAACTAGCACATGATTTCTCGACACAGTAAGAATACGTGTTCAATAAAATTTAAAGATTTAAATATTTTAGATTTTAGAAGAGTAAAAGTTCTATATAAGAAGATTCCTCTATTTATTGACTTTACATATTTTCTAAATAATAGCAAAGAAAAAAAAAATATATATATATATATGTAAAAATATGTATGTAAGAACGTATATGTGAAATACATATATTTTTAGAAAATGTATACATTTCCAAGCTTGTGCAAACATCTATTAAGGAAAATTGTATTTCGTAGCATTTACGTAGCGTAAAAGAGTCGAATACCTAGAAAAGTAGGAATCCAAGAAACCGGAAATACCGGGATCTTGCGTGTGTTTCGAGCTTACCTGCATGGTTGGAATGTACTGGCTTTGATGCGCAACGCTAAACACATACCACGGAATTCATCTCACGAACCGAGAGAGCTTTATAGCGGGGAGATAGGGAAGAGGAGAGCGTTGCGTTTCCCTTCCGCGAGCAGCGTTCTTACGTAAACAGATCTTTAAGCCGCTCTCTCCCGCGGCGGCGCCGGCGCCAACGTTGACATGTACTACGCATTTACAGAAACCGGTAAGATCTCAACTTGCGCGACGTTCGTACGCGCGCATATCCACAATAACATTCGTCACAATTTTAAAATAAGCAGAAAAAAAGAAGATTTGTATAACAAAAATATAAAATTATTTAAATATAAAATAATTATATAAAATGATATAAAATTATTTAAATATAAAATAATTATATAAAATTATATAAAATTATTTAAATATATGGAATGTATCTTTTATAAATAATAATTTAAAACATAATTTATATATACATATATGTATAATTATGATTTTTAGAAGAGAAATTATTTACCATATGCTCTACAAATTAAATGTGTAAAGATAAAATTTTTTAGTATCAATAGCATATTCAAATATCCAATGCCTCTCTCTCTCTCAGTTTTATTACCATCTATCCTTCAAAGCTAAATTGATATTGTCAAGAGTTTCTTTCAAACAATACAAACGGAATGCGTTGTGTTCTGGGTGAGATAGAAGACGGGAATCTCGTAAAGAGCGAGAAGAGCAAAGTCTAGAAGATGA